TATTTTCTTTAAATATAATACAGGGAGATAATATTTGATGGCAACAATTTGAAAAATGAACCAATATTCATAGTGAATCAACGAAAAATGCCAAAACAAAATTAATAGCCCTTCTAGGCTAACGCCCTTTGAGGTAAAACAAAAAGGAAACTAAATACTCTGTCATCATGCGAATAGGTTTACGTCGCAGATGGCAGCGATTTGGAGTTTTGTGGTATGGCCGCCCTCTACAGGGCGTCTGGCTCGAAACTGTACCTCAGTTAATTGATTTGTTACATTTCTCTGTGTCACTCTGGTGCTGCGAAATGCTAAAATGTCTCCTGCAGATTCAATGAGATGTGCAACTTACATTCGGCGAATACAGAGGATTTCCGTAACTAGTGGTACGTGAGTGGCTGGAGTTCGGCCTTTTTGACGCAGTAAACACTGTATTAATGTATAATCAATATTTATGTAGAGTGGATACATCCATTCCGAGTCTTTGTGCAGTATAGCGAAAAGAACATCCACCTTCTTATAGCTCTATTAAGTGACCCATTTCAAACTCAGTAAGCTGCTGTTACTGGCATTTTCGTCTACTACTCTAATTTTTTCTTAACTCCCTACGGCCAGAAACCCATAAACTCAAAAATGTCGTCTTATCCATAAACTTTTTTATCAAATAAAATAATAATATTTTCCCTGGAAAGTGGTCTTTTCTTCTTACATGAAAACCTAACAGGGAAGTTACATTTACGTTGCAGATATAAAAAACACATTCACTTTAAAATTATGTTCAATTAAAATTACTACAATTGTACTTAATCATTTTTAAAAGGTCAGGTTTGATGTGATATAACTTAAAATACAGCGAGAGACACAACACAGAAAAAAATATCGAGTCTCTTTTCTAATTATTTTGCTGTTCTCATTTTACTTCAGCGAACACACATCGCACTGTTTTGCGGTTCTTATTATCCCAAAGGGAAAGATATCAAATAAAGAAAAATCTGCATGAAATTTTTATGTTTCCCGCATTGTGAAAGAAAGACAGTACCTAAAGCCATCCAATTTTGAATAATTTAATCCTCCACCGGAAAATGGGCACTTGATTTTCGAATTTGTTTTATTGTCTATTTTATATTTTGTAAAACTTTAATAAATTCTGATTAACACACTCAACGATCTGAAAGACAGCAACGGCAACATTGTGCGGAAAAATCATAGCGCGCGATATTATATATATATCGGAAATTCTAAAGTTATGCTGTTTTAAAATTTTTCCTGATATTGCTGTGGAATTTTATGTGGTTTAAGTGCGAAGAACATGGTACTTAATAAATGAAGGTATCACACAAAACGTTAAAATCTCATTGAATCTTATGCGGTTTTTTGGGGCTTTTAACTTTCATACAGATTTTCCTAAATCACTACCCCATTCCACACGAAACAGGGGTCGACACTTTCGCGGTATTTTTTTTAATATTTATACTCAAGACATCACTAAAGACCCTTCTGTTCATCTTGCACTTTTTGCCCCTTGATATATTCTAAACACATTCATAGAGACATACAAACAGAACCTATACAAAACTATATTAAACGCTTAGCAGTCAACTTCTTTCACTCTGTACAGTCCCACAGGAATAGCCTTATTAGCACTCTCATACACTCCCCGCACCCCAGGGAAAAACATCGTTATCCCTGTGACATCCTACCCGCATAAGAAATGCAACCAATATTGACTTATTCACTTGTAGGGTTTATATTTATTTTAACTAACATTTTAAGCTATCTTTCCTGTCAAGCCTTTACTTTTCCTTGGAATTGCCAATGTCAGAGTATGTAAATTTTAGTAGAACGCGCAGAGTATTCAAATTTTAGCAGAAGTAATTTGAGTTAAATAGAAGGGAAACGAGATTTGTAAGTGTGCTTCTTGATTCACGAGCGTGAAGGTTGCTTGGTAGAAATTTAAGAACCGCGCATTTCGGCCTGTGTGCCTACTTCGGCAGTTAGTTGAATCTTTCAACTTCTTAATCAGAAAGTTTGCTGAATCTCAGCTGTATCTTAGAACGCGGTTAAGATAGTTACAATTATAGAGCCTCGTAGATAGTGACTTCGTTAGTTATTCATCCTGTCATTCATTTTTAGTTGTTCTTTCCTATTTTTGTTTAACTGCCGGGTCGGTGTAGTTTGTCAGCGTCGAGTTAACGCAACTGTGACTTCTAAAGTGAAATAAAATGGGAGTTAAACCCTTCTTAAGAGTCTGTGTAATTTCCAGTTCATAGCAGTCACTACTACTGTTGCGGACAAGTTGGGGCCTCGCAACATCACACACTGTTAATTGACTTTGCAGTTTCACCCACTGCTTCATCTTGTAACGTCACTGAACTCACCCCCCCCCATTCGCCGCCGCTCGAAGAGGTTAGAATAGAAGAAGGAAGGGTTCGCAGTTACCTCCACTATCGGGGAATGAAACTCTACCGAACAAGCGGCGTCCATGTTTGTAACTTCAAAACATTGCATTACGGCAGTGAAACGAACATGTTTCTAAGCTGTTCCCTGCATGTATTTTCCAGTAAAAATATGTTAAATTTATAATGAAATGCTTCGCTATTGTTAATTTTTTGTTTTAAAGTTGTAAAGATAATATTCGTAATTTACTACGTAGAGAAACTCATTAAGAAATAGTTCGAAATCTAAATGCATGTGCATAACATTAAAGCCTTTAAAAATTATGTTTTCTCCATATTTCAAGAATTTGTTTAGGTTTTATTAGCAACCTGTTGAGTGTACTTTCCAATTGTTCTTTTAAGAAGTGATATTTCTGTTTTATTCACAATATTATTATAATTTATTAAAGAATCATTTCATATACAAAATTTAAGAGCTAGGAAAGAAAAGAAAGTTATTTAGGGAAAAAGAAAGTTATTTTAGTTTGCTTAAATACTTCAGATTTAAGTTGTAATACACTAAAACAGAAATTCAAATATTATTTATTAGTTATAGCAGTTGTTGTGATAGCTAATTTCAGGAGACTGGTACTTGATGCATAATATTTCATTTTTAAAGCTTTATTGGCATACTTTAAAAAATTTAAATAATTCTTAATTTCAATTAAAAAACACGTTGTATCTTTTATCCATTTATCGATTTTTAGAAGTATTTTAGGGGAGGGGAAGATTGTTTTTGTGGAAACCTGAGAAAAGTGTTAATTTTGATTAAGCTACAGTAAATGAAATAACTTCATGGAATCAGAAATATCTAAAATCCTAAACAAATGGAAATAAAAATAAACAGCAAATAGATTTGCATTATACATGTCAAAAGCGACAGCTCTTTAAAAGATGGTGGATTTAGATGGTTGCTCAGCTCAGTGCATATCCAAGTTAAAAAAAAAAAATTAAAAACTTATTTAAATTCTATTCTGACTTACTTCTAATGCTTTATTGATCAGGAAATTTCTACGTGTAATGGGAAAATGTCTTTCTCTGATATTAAATAAAAAATGCAACAATGAAAAAAATATCATCACATTTCATATTTATGAAACTCACAGAAATTGCCTGGAATTAATGTGAATTACAGAAATATACTTATATAAATTTTTGGATACATCTTTCCATGTGTTCAATTGTGTAAATATTTTACTTACTTTTATCGCTATACTGCCCAGAAATTTATAAATTTATGCAAAAGAAATTTAACAACAGAACAGTTTATCTTGATCAAGTGCACAAATTATATTAGTAACATTTCACAAACTTAAATTAATAATAATTAATACATAAAGACAAGCATTACTTTATTTAATACCTTTACCATTTATAAAAAGGTAAAATTTTTCAATTGGGTGCACCCCCCTTTTTTTTCGATTTTTTTCCGACGTCAAGATCGGCGCAAAGAAGGCACAATTTCAAGATGGCCGCTACACAAAATCAAAATAAGAAGTCAAAGAATTGCACAAACTCTATGTCCATGTAACATCGATCTGTTTCATTTAAAAAAACATCCTAGAGTTGCACAAACTAGGCATTGCGCACTGCCTTAAATTTGTCCATGTACACATTAATCTATTTTCATTTAAATAAAATCAGGAAGCTAAAACTAAGTTAAAATTATCATGGTAACCAGAAGTGAGGGTTCATCGCCAAAATTTTTAAAAAATTGTCGTTAATCGAAGAGGCAACCAATTATACACTAGAGCCCATAGAAATAGTAACAACTGGTGTCTTACTTTTCATGGAAATTATCAAACGAATTACCTAAAACGTTCAAATTATACTGTTTAAATCCTAGGATACATCATTGTATGTTAGGGAACTAAGATGCCAGCTATAAACAGAAACATTAAAATGTATTTAACATATTTTGATAATTATGAAGTCTTTTTTTTCACATCTGGAAAGAAAACATGACATTGTGATATTTTTTAACATAGCTATCAAATTACATAAAAAAAAATCAATACTTACGCGGTAAAATAATCCAGGAATCTTTTCGAAAAATGTTTGTGCCCCATATACACACAAGCTGACATGCTTCAAAAGAAAAGAAAAAAAAAAAAAAAACAGACTTCCTTGCACAAGTCACAGCGATAACAGCAACATGGCCGCCAAACTTCACCATTTGAGTTAAACTCTCCCTCATCCTACTCTAACTAAGGCTCCTATATATTAGAGGAGCCTTAATTCTAACCGCCTTGCCGCCGCTAGCACGGACCAGATTCTTTTCTGATCTCTCCTACTATTACACTGTCCTTCTTTCTTTTTTCTCTAGATTGCTTATCAGAAGCCGAGTAAGAAAACGTTTCTGCATCTTGACACTCGAGAATGAAATACGATCTTTGTCGTCGTTCGTCGTTCCACATGAACAAAACAAAAAACTGCTTTTCCTTTTTAGTTTTTTTTTTTTTTTTCCTTTTAAGTTTATCTTATTGTGGCCGAAGGACTTAAAGGGTGAAAAATAAGTAGGCTGCCAAGAGCTTAACGTGTACTACTCAACTCATCTCCTTGTTTACACTTTTGTATATTTATGATGGCGGGTGAAAGCGAAGAGAGCTTACAATCATTTCCTACAAAAAAGGAAAATAGCTCTGCATCAACTGAAGTAAACCTCGATGCCCTGCGGAAAAGAGTTCGGAACTACATCGATTTGGTGAGGAAAGTTTTTCGTCATATAGGGCTTAAAATTGTCACAAATTATTTTGCTCTTCAAGAAAATTCAAATCAGTCGAAATATTTTTAGAAACTTGCAGGGAAAGAGAAAAATGACATTTAGTATATACAGTGTACAAATAAGAAAATGTTCATTAATCCTTTCGATCCAAATTCTTATCAAATTGCAAAAGTGAAGCAGTTTTGAAATCAAATGTAGGAATTACTAAATCCATGTTAAATACTACATTTTAGATTTAATAATAAATAAGTTCTTAATAATAAAGTACCCAAAACCTATATGATCAATATTTTTATAACTTCTATATTAAAAAAATATTAATAATTGAAATTACGATTAAAGCATTTGAATTTATGTATACTACACATGTTTATATGTGTATGCAAGAGTTCTTACTGCCTTGTGTATATTTGAAAATACGGCAGTTCTGCTACATGTTTAAAGGGACTACCCGACTCTCAGTTTTTACCAGTAACAGACAGAAGTTTATCTGTTTGTGTAAATTATTAAAATTTTGAGTGTGGTGATATGAAATTTGAAGTGCGAGTTCAAAATGTAGGTTATTTGAGGAATTTTTTAATTGCTTTCATTAGTGTCTTGAATTACAATTATAGTGGAAGATATTACTGAGTACTTTCTGATTATCTAGATCCGATTTTTGTTTTTTCTCAAAAAAATTTTGAATTTTTTACAAAATGCTATTTTGCACTCCAATTATTTACACCCCCATTTTATAGTTACTAACTCATTGGCAATTTTTGAAACATTCATAAATTGGATGACAGCTTAGAGAATAATGTTTGAACATTGTTATGTCTATTTTACAATGCATTGAGTGCTGCCTATCTTTTACATTCTCCTTTTCCCATACAAAACATATGCATTTCTCTTTTTTTATTTTTTTTTCATTGTGATTCTTATGAACACAATTTGTTATCTCAGAAAAAAAAAAAAAAAAAAAAAAAACAAAGACAATTGTTCACCTTGGCACAAAAATCTTAAAACAAGAATAAAAATAAAAGCCTGCAGTATGGGGGTATGGGGTCCACAGCTATGCTAAAATACTAAAATTTCCATAGGAAGTTTTTTCATTTGTTGTTATGTTGAGGAAGATATCTGGAGAAGTGGAAAGCCTGGATGTTACCTCTATACTTGGGTTGCCATAGAAAAACTTTTTTGTGACATCATGGGTTGCCATATAAATATTTATTCGCAACATTATGGATTGCCACACAAATACTTTTTAGGTGACCTGGTCCATTGCCTCATCAATATTTTTTCATGGCTTTTCAGTAGAGGTGCAGATAGTCCAAAAGTAGTAATGTTAGGTTGATCTTTACTGTAAAGTGCCGTTTGGTTTTTGTCTGAAAAAATCGCCAGCTGGTATTGGTTGTTTGTGAAATCTGGAAGCCTGCTGCGTGAAATAAGTTTTTTGGTAACCCCTAATATTGATAATGTTGGCGAAACTAGTCTTTGGGAAGATTGTGGTTTTTTGTTCAGTTTTTGCCATTAAAAAGGGTTATTTTTGGGTAAAAGAAGGGGTTGATCTTTACAATATGGTAACTGGTAGTTTGGCGACATTTTGGAGGCGATAAAGGTTACTACCTGGGACTTTGGTAATATGGAGCATACTAGCTCCGATATGCATTATTTGTGTGAGGGAAATGAGAGATCATGGGATATGTCATGGATATTAATGGACAAAACGTTCTTTAATCGGAAAGGGGGGAAATCGTGAAAAAAATCTAACTTTGTATTTGGCTTTATTCTGTGTGTGTGAAACAGTGTTTGTTAATTTTTTGATCCCATGGCCGTATCTAAAGTGAATTCGAATGGGTATTTAGTGGTATTGAAAAGGGTAGTAATAATTGTTTCTTTAGTTGTGCGAGATTGAAATGAAGACGTATTATTAACTTATTTATTACCTGGTACCCTGCGTGAAATAAAGTATGATTTTAAAGATCCTTAAACAGAAGAAAGAAAAGTTATCGGACACGTAATCAAGCTTCTGAAGAAGATTAGGTAAGTTAGTATTTTTAATTATTTGGGATATTATTTTTTGCATTGTTCTAATGTAAGGGGAAGAAAGGAATTTGGTATTATTGGAAAGTGTTTTAGCAATGATTTGGTTTAAAGTAATTAGGATTGTAGGGTAATTTTTATTAATTTAATGTATGTCTCATTTATATTTTAAGAGTGTTTTTGAATTTTTTATATTTAATTAAATCATAGTTATTTTGGTAATTTTATGTTGTAAGAATTTGGTGTACGTTTTAGTTGAAGAAAACGTGCATGGAAATAATTTAAATATTGACACTAGTATTTGTAATGGTTGCGGTAATGAATCTTCGTTGGTGACGTGTAATGTAATAGATGATTTGAAGGTAAAAGTTTTTGGATATTTTATTTATTTTATATGTGGAATGTTCATATTTGTAAAGGGTAAATACTTTTCGCGATCAGGTAATTTATATATGTTCTTGTTAACCGGGTTTAAAGATTGAAAAAATTGTCATGTATTTTCGTGAAATTTTCTATTTATGGAAAAAACGCAGTGTACATGGATATAGTGAAGAGTGTGTGCAATGCCATTTTTGTGCAATTCTGGGATGTTTTTTTAAGTAAAAATAAGTCGGCGTGTACATGGTTTATGTGTACGTGTTATTTTGAAAACTCGTAAGGAGTATGGTATTGTGCCCTTTTTCCCAATTTTTGCAGTGAATATTTGTCATGATTAAGCAATTTTGTTTGATAAAATTTCTAGCGTAAGTGTAATTCGGCTAGTAGATTGTTGGAAGAAGTGTTCAGTAGATAAAAAGAAAAGAAACATATCTTTACTTCGTGAAGACAAAATGGCGGCGGGGAAAAAAAAATAGAGGGTTGCTGTAGGAGAGTTGGTCGCCAAATTTTCGCCAAAAAATCGCGAAGTTACCATAATGTAAAGATCAACCAAAGAAGGAATGTTGATTAACAGCGAATGAGCCAAAGCGACCAAACATTTACTTGAATTGCTTATGTGGAAGATGTAGGAGATGGTAGTGGGAAGCATGAACGTATGCTCGGGGAAAAAAACAGTATATTAAAAAAACTGACATTTCATTTATTTATTCGTCTCTGTGTGTTAATTTTTGTTAAAAGATTTGTTGTTTAATATTTTTACATTAGGAAATATGTATTTTTGGTTATTTATTACTCTCTGTTTGTGTATTTTTGGATATTTGTTTGTCTCTATGTGTTAAGACAGCGGCAAATTTTTTCTGGTTAACATAATAGTTTTAACTTTGTTAGCTTCCTGATTTTGTTTAAGTGAAAATAGATTGATGTGCATATGGTCAAAGGCAGTGCACAATGCCTAGTTTGTGCAATTTCCTGGTGTTTTTCATATTAAAATAGGTCAATGTGTACATGGGCAAAGTTAAGGCAGTGCACATTTACTTTGCCTAGTTTGTGTAATTCTCTGAGGTTTTTTTAAGTTAAAATAGATCACTATTTACGTGGACACTGAGTTTGTGTAAGTCTTTGACTTCTTGTTTTGGTTTTGTGTAATGGGCGGAATTGATCGGCACCATCTTCAAATTGGTGCCGATCCTTCCTGGCACTGATCTTGGCGTCAAAAATGAGACAATTCGCCAAGGAGTACTATAGAGTAAATTTTAACCTATTGTTTGTCATTATTAATTCTGAATGCAATAATACCTGTAAGACAAACAAAAGATAAGAACAAACAAAAGTTTTACCCTAATTCAGAAATTCAGCTATGAGTTGACTTTTCGTGGAGGTGTGAATAAATATAAATAATGTGTAGCAGATTATAAATGAATCATTGATTGTATTGGAGCTGTATATTTTTTAAACTCGTGTTATATCATTGTAACATGTGTACAACATTAGTTAATAAAAAAATCTAAGTATTATGTTCTCCATAATGAACAAAATATCACATGTAAGTAGCTTAGTTATATTTTCTGCTCTAATACTATTTTATTGAAAACAGGGATTTTGACTAATTATGAAAATTATTTTTATGCTGTTTCTCTTATCAATCAAACATAGTTTTTCAGTACGTGACAATATAGGAGACATTACAATGTTTTCCGATATGATGATTGTACTCATATTTTTTCTCATACGATTTAAATCCATGCAATTAAAAATTTGAAGTATTATGTTATATATAATGAATAAAATATCTATAATAATGCAGTCATATGCAAGTAGCTTAGTTATATTTCCTCCGTTAATACCATTTTATTGAAAAAAGAGATTTTTTACTAACTATGAAAGTTGCATTTTATGTTGTTTTTGTTATCAATCAAATGCAGTGTTTTAATACTTGAAAATATTGGAGACATTAAATTTTGTTCCATTATTATGATTGTACCAATATTTTTTTCCATAGGATTTATTAAATATTATCCCATTTTATTAACTCTGAAAGTTATTTTCCATTTTGTTATCAATCGAAGACAATGTTTTAATGCTTCAAAATATGGAAGATGTTTAAATATCAGAATTTGCAGTTTTAGATGAGAAACCCACATATATTAAGGTTTTTATAAACCATGTTAAGCATCAATAACGTTGCATTTTGTGTAATTTTCCCGAATTTTAATATAAATTTTAGGTAATCTTGCAATTGTATACTTGTTTTAATATAAAAAAATTAAACAATAACCTTTTTTATTTAAACTATTCTTGAGTTTTAAGGAAATATCAGAGTTTATAAGTGTTAAAAATTTGTATTATTGGTTCAGAAATTTTTGTTATACTTTGTTGCAGTGGTCCCTAACCATATTTGGCGATTTTAGATTTATGCCAAGATCTCAGCTATAATTTAGCTCATGAACTGCAGATGTATAAAAATAAACAGAACAATATAATAATAACAATAATACTTGCATGTTGTTTCGTAAGAATATTTTTAAGAATTAATATAAGAATCATTATTATTATTATTTGATCACATGTAATTGTTCCAGTCAACTGCAGCACTTTCACATTTATTAAAGCTGTGATTGTTAACACATATTCACACACACACACACACAAAAACATACATATTTAAATAAATAATGTGAATTCAAAAATATTATAAAAATTAAAAAATATAAAAACAGGCGGTGAGAGCAAAAATGTAACACAGTGCTGATATACAGTTAGCTGGTGAGGTATAAGAATACACAGCTAGTGCTAATGTATGATCACATGCCAATGTCTAAGAACATGCATCGAGATTTTGTCCAGATAACTTGATTGATTGGCGACTCAATCTCGGGGGCTGCTATAACAAAGAAACACCATTTTTGTAATTTGATATTTTTAATTACTGAAACTTTTTTAAATGAAATTCAGTTTTGGATATTTTTCTGTTAATAGTATGTTAGTCACTAAATGTCATAACTTCTTTATATTCTACCATGAATCCCTGTGCAATGTTGTGAATAAGCAAGAAACATGAATGTCAATCTTTAAATTTTTTCTCGTATATTTTTCAATTACTTAAACAACTGAATTGGCAGGTGCTGGATATGATCATTTGCAAGTTAACATCGGATGCAGCATTACTGATTCTGATATAGGATGCCATATGCAAAACAGTAAAATATGACCACACACCGGTCACCACCATCTGTATTCCTACCTCATTGAATTCACGTGGCAGTGCTTGCATGAAGACATAAATGTTTTTAGTAGTGTTAAACGAAATTGTTACTTTTATACCACCTGCGTAATCTGAAATTAATCTAGTAAAATCTGTTTTGAACTTTTTTTTTTCTGTACTTAATAAAATTATTATTAAGCTTTATGTATTATTAGAGTTGCTACTATCTTGTTAGATTTCACACTAATGTTATGTTTGTGCTGACTGGTACCTCTTTAGCAAAACAGTACTCAGTTGTATACTATTCTGTGTCAAGTGGTATATGTTGATTTTATAGTTGAATGCAAAGTGTTGTTTTATATATAAATAACCTCCTTCCTGATATATACTGTATAAAATTACTTCAGTTTTAAAAAAAATTGAATTAAAATCATATTTTTAAATGTTTTTTTTTCTTATAACAAATATTTCATTTAAGCTTTGAATAATAATATAACAATTTTCTCTTAACTTTTTAGCATCTGTACCAAGCTGCAATTTTCTGGGCTGACAAAGTTGCATCAGTATCAAATGGTAAGTTAATACTTATTCTAGATTTTTTTTTTTTTTTTTTTTTTTTTTTTTTTTTGCTGAAGGTGGGAGAATGCAAGAGAGTTCATTTTTGAATTTAAACTATTTAAAAGAGATCTTTAAACAGAAGATGCTTAGATTAGTTATAACTCGTGATTTTTTATTTGATCAATTGATTTTTTGGGGGTGGAGGGTTAATGATAAATTGGGCTGGATGTATATAATAAAGTATTAAATAAAGAAGTTATGAGTTTTAGTTGTACACTAGAGAATGTGTACATAAATACTAAAGAATTTGTACATAAAAAAAAAGTTATAATTTTTATATGAATTTCTAGAAAAAAAAATAACATTTAAATTGAAGATTAAATATTCAGATGTTGCAGCAATTTTTAAGCACAGCAGTAATTTATTTTTTTACAATTTTCTTTTAATGGTTTGATTTTAAAGTCAACAATAAAGGAATAGTTAGTAAAATTTCTATAGTGAAATAGAAGTTTAGTGCTTATTTAAAATCTTTTTGGATGTTTCTTATAAGTAATTTTACAAATTTTTGTGTTATGTCCCTTTTTCTATTGCATCACTATGATGTAGATTCTTGAAAAGCATTATATGTTTATGCTATAATTTATTGGATAAACAGTTGTCATTCTATTTTAAATGGATTTATAACTTATTCATAATAAGCCAGTCAAAAGTTTTAAAAATAGGGAAAAAATGTGAATATAAGATTCCTCTTTCTGTTTTCTAAAATTTTGAAAATTATGATTACTTGAAATTTTATTAAATAGAATATATTTTATTTTGATTGATTCATTTCCTACTTCTTTGTTAACAGATTATCTTTTATAAATTTTAATTTCAGATGATACTTCTGATATTTATTGGCTAGCTCAAAGTTTATATTACAGTGGTCAGTACCATAGAGCTGCTGTTTGCATTAAGTCGAGAAATCTTCACAAAGTAAGACTATTTATATTTCTGAGTTTTACTTAAATTGCGGTTAGTCTAATTTTTTCCTCCTCCCTTTTCATTTACTAAACTTTTCTTGTTATATTATGTTTTGTGTTAATTTTAATCGATAGCTATTAAAATTATGTGAAGTATAATTATTCATTCATCTTATTAAGCCTCAATATTTGAATGATCTCTTTCATGTTTTTGTGTTTCAAGTAATTTAATACATGTAGGTGTGTAATTATCACTTTACATGTTCAATTGTTTTTATGTTGTGATAATAAAAACGAGTTATAAATTGGGAGGAAACTCTAAATCAGGTATTAAAGAGCTGCACATGCAAAATCATTTCATAGCTTATTCTAGTAGGAAAATAATCTACTGTAAAATCATTGAACATTTTGCTCAATTTTTCTAATTTGTTTTGCTAGAAGAAACAGTATCAGTTAAATTGGTTATAATATTTTTTTTAGTGATGGGCATTTTATGTTTGGGTCCATACTAACTCCAGAAGCAGTGGTCATTTTTCTGTAGAAGAACCTAATAGGCTGCCACCATTACACCCTATGAAGGGACAGACAGTTTACATCCATGCCTTCTCTGGGAATCAAACCCTGGCCTGTCAGTACAGTAGTCAGAGTCACTAATGATTATCTGGATGATTCATTTTTCTTTTTTTTCTTTTCTTTTTTCTTTTTTCTTTTTTTTTTTTTTTAAGTAGATTTATTATTATTCCTTCAATGGGATGAAAGAAAATATGAGAGTTTTAGTATTTCAGATTCCTTCAAAATTTTAATTTTGAGTATAATTGACTGAAAATTCTTGTTTTCTTACGGATTTACTGTGATTTCTCTTTCTTTGATAGCAATTTCCAAATATTACTAAATATTTTCATATTCATTTAGTGGAATGTTGTAGCCAGATATTTTCAACAGTTTTGCCTTTTGGTATATTTCGTATATTCGGTTTTGCTTTTTTGGCATTAAATAGTGATTTCATTGTTGCATGTAACTGGTACAAATATTCTGTAACAACTGAATACACATACGAGGGTTCCTATTTATATTTTCCTATTTATATGTAATTATCACTTTACATGTTCAATTGTTTTTATATTGTGATAATAAAAACGAGTTATAAATTGGGAGGAAACTCTAAATCAGGTATTAAAGAGCTGCACATGCAAAATCATTTCATAGCTCATTCTAGTAGGAAAATAATCTACTGTAAAATCATTGAACATTTTGCTCAATTTTTCTAATTTGTTTTGCTAGAAGAAGCAGTATCAGTTAAATTAGTTATAATATTTTTTTAGTGATGGCCATATAGTTCTGGCCTAATAATGAAAAAACAAATGTTTGGGATCGAAATTGTTTTTATTATTTTTCAAAATATTCTCCGTGAAGATTAACACACTTTTGCATGTGTTTGAACAAATTTTCGAATAACTTTTCCCATTTCGATTGAGGTAACTCCAAAAACATGCATTTTGAATGCATCAACTGCTTCTTCGGATGTCATAAATCGACGACCACATAATTTATTTTTGATATGCAGGAATAAAAATGTAATTGGGTGTCCAATCAAGGCTGTACGGCAAATGACCCATGAATTTAATGCTTTGTCCCGTTAAAAATTCCTTTGTTTGAGCCGACATGTGAGAGCTTACATTGTCATGATGAAGAATAATTCACATCTTCTTCTGCTTTTTTTGAATTTCTCCGATGACTTCTGGGAAAGAAAGGGTTGTGTACCATTCGTAATTGAACAAACTATTTGCTTTGATGTGCTTCTTCCGTGAACAATTTTTGTTGGATTTGGCTTGTGTTGGAAGACCCATAGTCGGTTGCTGTTTTGATTTGGGCTCATGTGCATAGATCCATGATTCACCACCTGTGTAAATGTTATGCAAATCCTTTGATGCACCTTGAACATATTTTTTCAACAATTCCTTGCACCGACACAAGCCTTCTTTTGAGTGTTTGTCAGATTATGTGGGATCCAGTGCAAACAAATCCTTTTTTACGGCCAAATGTTCATTTAATATTTTATTGATGCTTGTCATATTAATGCCCAAAGATGCCTCAATCTGAAGGTATGTCACATGGCGATCTTGCTTAATCAGTTCATACACAGCATCAATATTTTCTAGCACAACTGATTTTAGATGATCTTCACAGAATTTGTCCTGGAGCAAACGTTGACCATGATTGAATTTGTTATACTAGTTTTTTACAGTGCAGTAGGGTGATGCTTTATTGCTGTATAAAGAATTAAGTTCATTGAATCACTTTTGTTTTGATAATCCGCGTTTAAAGTTATAAAAAATAATCGCATGAAAATGTTCAAGTCAGTTCCATTTTTTGCCTGAGATGAATTTTTCAATCTACTGTAAACAACACAAATCATGCTAAAATTGCAAAACGTTCTGAAGAAGTTATGGTTAAAACTATCAAACTTTAAATTGTAATCGTCTGCGATTACTTAGCAACACTTACTGTTGCCAAGGCTAGAAATATGAATATCAACCTTTGTATTTGAGCCTTTTAAAGCTGGGGATGATCAAGCATATTTTATGAGCATTTTTATTTGAGCAATAGATAGTAATCTTGCAGAAATTTTCGAAGTAGGCTAGAAGCATGGTCACTATTTGCTATCTCCTAACAAATCATAAGAATGTAACAAAGCAGAAGGCAAAAATAACAAATTCAAAATCTTGGCGTGTGAGAAAGTTTTTTGTATTTATGCCGATTCTAAATTTCTTGTAAAAAAATTACTATAAAAGTATCCTTTGGGTATCTATACTAGGCATGCCAACCTTTTTATTTCCTTGTACGAAGTAAAAAGGAAGTATTGTAATCGCGAAAAGATTCAGGCAGCATATTTAAACGAAAATATCCATTTTAACCGCTATCAAATGCACTTTAACGATATTTTTGCGTGATATTTGTACGTAAGGACAGAATAAAAAGACTCGTTTCCTCCAAAAAAATTATAAAACTGCTTTAAAATGAATTCTGAAAAGAATTTTTCGTGGCGTCTGTATGAACGTATGTACGTACAGTCCTCGCATAACTCAAAAATGAGTAGCTTCAGAACGTTGAAATTTTGTATATAGGACTGCTATAACATGCAGATGTGCACCTCGTATTTTGCAAGCAAACGTATATAAATATATTTATATATATATATCCACTCTATTACCCGGCTCAGTGATCTCAATTTCTTTACTCTTGTATGTTTGTAAATTGTACATTTTTTGCTTTAAAAATGATTGAATTATGTTATTCTTATCTTCCGGCTAAGGTTTTTATGCCTTTAGTAAATCTGTGTTGAATTTTTTTAGAATTATCAACAATTTTAAAGTTGTTTAAGTGCCGCTAATCCTAATAATTTTTTTTGATGGTGGCCATTGCTTGTTTACATTTGAAACAGCAGGATATAGTGGATTCGTTGCTAATCTAGAGAGAAACTTAGCTTCACAACAACAAAGATAATGCCTTCGTTTATTATTGCGAATTAAATCATGCTTAATCCTTTCTGGAATTTTTTCAAGGAAATAGGTTTTTAAGATTTACTTCATTTTTTATAATTTAATTTTTAATAATTAGTAATTTTTAATACAGATATTTTGAGTTTTTATGTATTTTTGCCTTGTCGCTAAGTGAGAACTGAGTTAATTGAATGAGAAATATTCAACTGACTGTGAAAAATTTCTTTTTTGTTTTGTTTGCTTAATTTCTTTTATACATCGTTCTAGCTTTATTATAGTATTTGAATAGAACATGTGGCAATGATCAGATAATTCTTTAAATGATATAAATTTTGTACATTTTGAGTTATGAACGAAATATAATACTGTTAAGTGAACCTAGCGCCAGAGTGTCGCTATGGTAAACAAATAGAGTGAATTTTAAAGAATGCATTTATTCCATTGTCGTTTGTGGGCTGTCGGCAAAATAGATTTAATTCAATCCAATAAGTTTAAATGAAATGCAAGAAAAAATGCATATAATTTAATATTTCGTACAAGGAAGTCATGTGGTGTACACATCAGATTTTTTTTTAGATGCTTCCCTGTGAGATTTTTTCCCTTAGAAAGACAGAACCAATGGAGGTGCATTCTGTGTCAATCTTGGTGCATACTTTTATTTAAAGAGCATTTAAGCTTATCTATGGATTACTCATATGACTTAGCTTTAGCTCATAGATAATATGATTTTCATTCTGTTTTAGTATGTCAGCAACCTCTTTAGGTCGTATTAAGGTGTTTTAAATGTGAGGAGTACCTTAGCTTGAGTTTTTGATTGATGGGTTTAGTTTTGCGTTGGATTTTCTGCTGATGGGATAACTTGCTGTATGAAACAGTTCATCAAGCAAGTTAATGTTCATTTGCTATGCTAAGTTTCAAGCTCGTTATTTGTAGGCCCGTAGCTTTGTGTCCTTTTCATTGCATAGTTATGATTTGGGAGAGGGAAGAACCTTGTTAATTTCCAAAGGGGCGAAGTGGAAGGCACATATTTTTTCACAAATTATTGTTATTTTCTTGGTGCCTTCTGTAGTTTCTAGATCTGAATAGCTCACAAGTACCTGCTTTTTTCCCCTCAAGAAGTATTAATTGAAAATGCATGCCACAGGTTATCAAATGTTTCCCTTTTTTTTTTCTTCTATAAATTGATAGTTATTTTATCATTATTTCCATATAAAATTTTTTAATATTTGTTTTTCTTGATAAAACTTTAAAATTTTTAAAATATATTTTTTTCAGACAGATTCAGGGTGTAGATACTTAGCTGCAAAATGTCATGTAAGTATGGTTCATAAATGTTTTTTATTTAATCAGTTTTTAATGATTGCTTTTACTTTAGTCTGTTCTATTTCACTTCTGTTCCATTTATCGATTATTATCAAATTAAATTGTTTTATTCAATTAAAATAAAATAATTTTAAATTTTAAAATATACATATTATTAAAAAATAAGAGTTAATGACTTAAGTGAACAGAAAATGTTCACTTTATACTCATTAAATAAGATTTTTAATGATAATTTTACATATATATTATTAAATTTTTGTATTAAAATTCAAATTTAGGTATTTTCTTACTATCCGTACGCTCACTGAGAAGCTGTGAAAAAATATTAAGAGGCAACTTACTATATTTGCCAAAAAGTATTTATGTGGCTACCCAGGTTATACACATAGCACACATGGATTTGCATTTTTGAAATTAATACATAATAATTATTAATACATAATAATATATATTATACATTATTTATATACATACTTATATATATATACATTATACATACATTTTATTATTTTTAAATTCAACTAAAAAGAAGTCTTTGTAATCTGAGGGAAACAAACTTCTCTACAGTTTTAATTCTATAACTGACTGTACATTTTGCAGAAAAAATAATGCTTTATTAAAATAAATTGTGAGGTTAATTTTGCATACAGTTTTGAATTTTCTTATATCTTTGTTTTATGCATATATTCTAATTAATGAAACTAAATATGTATAAGAGATGATGAATTATTTGGTAAGTGATTAATTAAATAGCATATAATTTTTATATTTCAAATATGTAATTTAATTTGCATATTTTTGTGATATTATTTTATAGATACTGTTCTAATTTCAGAAAGGTAGCAGTAATTTGAAATAATTATTAACTGTTTGAATTGTGTAATTGTTTGTAATTGTGTTTTTAATTCATTCATTCAGTACAGTTTCATTAAATATATATAAATTTGTTTAATATAGTTTCACCTAGATCATTTTTGTTTTTCAAATAATGCAAGATCTACTTTCATTTGAAGTCCATTGCAAATGAAATGTAAAACCTCATGTTTTGCAACATAATAAATAACATATGCTTCTCAATAATGAAGTTATTGAAACTTCAACTTTGTGACATAGATTTATGCAGCACCATGATTGAGGTTTGTGCAGTTCAAGGGACATAACGAAGATTTCTTTTGTATGGGTGAGGTATGGAAATGGTTAAATTTTTATGTATCTATCTCTAGATAGCAGTTTATATGAGGGCTTCAGAGGTGTAAATGTTCCATAGAAAACTGTGCATACTTGCCACACGAAATATGAAAGACTGGAGAAAGATTTGCTGTGTCATTATATGGCCATAACCACTAGTTGTTAATTGATGAATGGGATAAAATTTTTGAATTATGAGATGTTGAATTATTCTTGTAAAATAATATAGGTGTCAAAATGTCAAGCATTATTGAATGTTTTATCTTGCAGTGGTTTCAAGAACGCCCAAAATGATATGCAAACATGATAAGTAAAAGAAGTATAAATTAGAATCTCTGCACAGAGACATCATCATTGTGTTTTCAACCTTTTGATTTGGAAAGGAAATTTGCCATTTCATTTGCAGTATTTTAAGTTACTTATATAGATTCATTATTTCATTAGCAGTATTACAGTAATAACCTTTAGAAATATTCTTAATTTTATTGTATTAAAAAAGTGTATACGTAAGCAATTATGTGGTAGATAGCACAACAGAAAAGTGTAGCAAATTTTTAATGGCAACAGGTAAAGGTTGACCATTTGAGGTGTTTAATTAAACTGATGAAGCATTTACGTAAAGCTAGTCTTCTAGATAGATGCCATGTTACTAGGATTTTATGAAGCTAATCATACACACTGAGTGGCTGACCTGATGTAGAATATGATAGCAATCGAATCTATGTAAACTTTTCTTGTTCAATAGTGAATCATGTTTTTGTTTTGGGTACAGCCATGGGCAAAAAATGGAGTGGAGAGGTTGCTATGATTAATACTTTATAAGACAATGTGATTATGGTTCTACTTCTAGCATTATGTTTTAAAGCATCATCATATATGACAAATACCATCTTCTAGCATTATGTTTTAAAGCATCATCATATATGGCAAATACCATCTTCTAGTCCACTTTGCTCACATTCCGAAAGCTGAATGATGTATTGATTTCTCTAATGGACCTAGTGTTATTCTCTCTTTAAGGACTTCAGTTGCTGTGGCATGCTATGACTCTGCATCAGTCATCTAAAAAGAAAATTTAAGATATCATCACCTGGCAATAGGTACCTTTATTGTCATGAACGAGCCACCATCACTGAACTTTAATATTTTGAGTTCTGTCTCGATTAAACGAACCACTTGATGGACTGTCCATTTTCTGGATTTTAGCCTCAATTTTCTGCCTTCCGCCCCTCCTAAATTCATTTGCACATTTTACCCATTCTTCCTGTTTCCCGGATTTGCAAAATGCACTGCTTCTCTCTTCATGGTACAGAGACTGTTAAAAAAAAAAAAAAAAAAAAAGACCAAACTTTTGCTGTTCCTGCTTTATTGTTAGTTATACAAGCTTTCAATCACTGTTCCCTTCAATGTATTCCTTAGTAGAGAGAGTGTTTACACATTTTTAGAACAATTTTGGGCCATTTAATTAATGTTTAAATTGTAAAGAGTATTTTTTTAAATGTTCAATCTAATAGCCTTTCTATCTAGACTTAAAATCTGCATCATGATTTCCATAATAGAAGGGCTTTTCATAAAATTTTCTGGTGTATAAATTTCCATTCTTCTTTTATTACCTTTGAGAGTCCATCTAACATGGTTGATTTGCATTTTGAAAGAGTTTTTTTCAAGAGACCAAAGGCACTTAGTCCATAGGTGAAAAATCATATGATTTCACAGTAATATGTTGAAAACGTATATATGCAATCAGTATTAAATTGAAAATGGGGAGTGGTTGGTCATTGTAGGCTGGGGAGAAAGAAAAGAAAGCATGGATTACATCTATAATAACTGTGAAGTGATAGATCGACTTGACACACAAAGTACAATCTTCCAATTGGCTAGAAATAGGAATTTTGGATTTAAACAAATCACTGTAATAAGCTTTTTTTATTTGCTATGTGCGTGCTTGTAGTATGTCAAAAATGCCTAATATGATTTAGGCCTGAAAAAAAATTGCCAAAAGAATTTATGATATGTTTGGTAAGCAACATTTAAAATAGGAATTTCCTGAACAGCACTGTACAGTTTACCTAAACAAGGAAGTAAAATTGATAAAGATCTAATAAAAAATGCAAATATCTCAAAGAAGCAAAAAAGGGATGAAAAATTTAGATTTGTTGAAATAGATCTTCTAGAATTGTTTCAAGCTGTGAGAGTAAAAAATGTTCCAATTTGTAGAGCTCTTTTGACCAGCTATAGAATTCGCTAAAATGCAGGGAGAAAATTTTGTACCAACTGATGGAGAGTTCACAAGATGGAAACAAATAAATAATATTGTTTATTGGAAACTAAATGGTGACAAGCAAGCAGCAGATCATCATTCACTGAGAATTGAATAAAAGACATTTTATCTCGTCTTTTAAAAGATTACAAGCCATGTGAAATTTATAACATTAAAGTGCCTGATCTATTTTACAGAGGATTACTGGGACACGCATTAATGTTGGAGCACACATTAATGAAAGAGCAAGTGATTTTAAGAAATTAAAAGAATGAGTTACTATATAATTAATGTGTAATTTGGATGCAGATACCATTGATTATTAGAAAATGCAAATCTTGATGTTTAAAAGTTGTCAAGAATTTAACTTAATAATAACCAAAACTTATGAATGACAAATAGTATTTTTTTCTGATTTCCCTTTTGAAATGTGACAGAGAACTGAAAAATAGAGATATTGCTTTACTGTTAAATAATTGTACATTAAACATGTAAAACATTAAATTAGTATTTCTTCCAGCAAATATGACTTCTGTCATGGATCAAGGTTTTATAATAGCTTTAAATAGTATTGCAGAAAAGGTGTCGTCCGGAAAAAGGTTGACAAAATTGAATCTTGTGAAAATGCAAGCAGTTTGAAGGAAGTAACTAAGTCAATATCTTTGCTACAGACTATGCATATTATAGTCAACACACAGGAAGCAGCCTCCCAAATCTCAGAAACTGCTATAGAAAATGTGGTCATTATTTAGAAGAAGCCACAGAGGAATTGCAACCTATATCTAATATTTTGAACATCAATAAGGGAAATTTTGAAGATTTATTTTTAGAATATGTTACAAATGGAGATAATGTTGAGAGAGAAAATGATATGATATTATACAAAGTGTTAAAAGAGCTGCAGAAACTGACAGTGAAAATGCTACAGAAGCAAGTGACTTACATGCCAACCTCATCTGAATTGAGAACAACACTGCAAACTCTTTAGTTGAATGGTGGAGATCAGAAAAGTTACCAACAGGTCTACGAGCTTGAAAATGCAATTGAAAACTGTTGATGAACAATATGAAACAAATAAGGATATGGTAGTTCTTTATAAAAGTTTAAAATTTCATCAGGTATGTAGTTACTAATTATTTTTATAAAAATTAAAAAATAATTTTTTAAATTTTGCAATTAGTTTAATTTTAGCATTAGTTTTTAATAAGTAATTTAGATATTAATTACTAGGTTAATTATTAGTTACTGTCTTACTAAATAAGTTAAAAGTTGATACAGTAATTTGCAGCATTGAAATCACTATTTATTAAACTCAATCATTTAATAAACTAAAATATGTTCAGAACAAAAGTGATTTTAATAACTGGTGGGTACTGTATACATAAATTTCTTTTTTATGTTATGTTTTTATGTAAGCACGTAGAAAAATGTATTTTTTATTTCAGTATATTCATATCAAAAATCTACAGACTGAAATAAATTTTATCATTCGAAATTTTTTTTCCTCTTCCAGTTTGCTGGAAAAGATTATAAAGAAGCATTAGATGTCCTTAGTGTTGTTGATCAAAATACTACAAATAATTCAAATGAAAATATTGCAAATGAATCACTCGAGTCAGATATTGTAAGTAAAATGTTAATATAATTTTCTTAATAAAAATTTATCTATATATGCGGATATGCTTAATTTGGTTTCTAGGTTTTTAAGAGAAAAGGTTCTGACTCTATGTGCTTCAAATTGTCATTTTTAAGTAAATATTTTAAAATCATTCAGTATCAGGCCATCCAGTCATTTTAGTTTATCTGATTATAGCAAAACACATAAGGGCTATTTGCCTTCATGGAGGACTTTCTAAAAGAGCTGGTTCGTATTCACATTATACATGGAAAACACACACACACACACACACACACACACACACAAAAAAAAAATAATGTAGCCAGCTCATTTGCCTGAATTCAAACCTGTCTTTGAACTACCGGTAGTCAGTGACTGTAATCTCTTGGCCATAGTGAGGCATTCGACCGTGCTTTTACTATGAATGATGATATAAATGATGACCAGTGTATACAATAAAAGCTTGAGGAATGTCGTTTATGCAAAAATTCCCAATAGTTGAGAAAATGCAATTTATTGTAAAAAATTAAATGAATAGAAAAAATTTCCAATCTAAAATTATAAAATGAGTCGTCTTATTTGTCATCAGCTTGGATAGTAAAAGCCTACATCTATTTATGGGAGATTCTGAAGGAAAGAAATGGCCTGATTTGTTTATGAAGTTTCATCAATCATGAAAATAAGTCGCAATCCTGCCAGTCATTCCAGCAGAAATTTGAAGGAACAAATTATTTGCTATTTAATTAAATAATAAAGATATAGAAATTACAGATGTATTATGTAAAAAACTTAAATTGTTTGCCATAATTTTTCTCATTGCACAGCAAGTATCTATCCATTCTTCAAATAAAGTTGCACTTCTTTTTTTTTTTTATGCCAGGATGCTTCTTTTTAGCACTGATCTGTTCCCAAGCATGTATTTTTATTATCTCTTTGTTCAATTCCCTTTCTAAATTCAACTAGTGATTTAATATTTGAATAACATTATATGAAAAAACTATCTTTGGTGATACAAAAGAAATTTGTTTTTCATAATTGTAAATAGAATTTGTAATCATGTAATTTTTTTAATGAATATTAAAGAAAACTGGTGTTATAAAAATAATTGAAAATAAGAACAAAATTTCTGTATAGAGATTTATTTTCTAGTTCTCAGAATTGAATTTGTAAGTTTTCACATTTAAAAATTGAGATTTATGCAAAAAAAAAAAAAAAAAAAAAAAAAAAAAAAAAAAAAAAATGAAAAGGAAGCAGTAGGAATGCAAAAATTCAAAATTTCAAATCTTGTAAGAAAGAAAAAATTATCTATTTAAAAAAAATTAAAAGGCTTGTTTATCTCATTTATCACATTCATCACAGCAATGGTGTGCCCTTGCCCTACTGTTTGTAAATTTTGTGAAAACAAAATAAATATGGACTAGGATCCACTGAAAAGTTAATAAATAAGTTGCTTGGCACTGTGCAATAATTAGGAAAACTGTGTAATTTCACCATGATTTATCTCATTGTTAGTACTGAACAGGTATTCTTGGAAGACAAGATAGTTCTTTCAAAGCGATGAAAGTGTTACTTTCACTTTTTATTCTCTACTTACTAGTCCTTACTTGTTTAATGTTAGCCGCATTTTCTTATTAATTGGATCCATTTTATTAAATTTTCTAATAGAATGTATGACTTTGTATTGATTCATCTTTCATTGTTTTATAGGCTAGTGCTATTTTGTTATTAAAAGGTCAGATATATGAAGCTATGGACAACAGAGGACTAGCATCAGAATGTTTTCGGGGTGCTTTACAACAGGATGTATACTGTTATGATGCTTTTGAATCCCTCGTGCAGCATCAAATGCTTACTAAAGAAGAAGGTATCTTAGTTTAAAATAGTTAAAAATACTTTGTTTTGTGTACTACCTATATTTCTCGTGCGTACCACCAGTTGAGAACTTCTGGTCTACATCATATGTATGTAATATTCATGAATGTGATATTTTTTAAATCTTTTAAATTGTTAATTAAGCTATGGATATTTTTCATTGAAAAATATTTTGATGTTTGATTGCCATATATTATAAGTCAAATACATTTTCCTGTTTTGAAGATCAAGTTACACCAAAACTGTCAATTATCATTAAGGTAGCAATTTCATTATAAGAAAAATAAGCACATTTTGTTGGTTGATGACATGGTAAGTGGTGGAAATTTGCAAAGCTTTTGTAGCTTAGGATTTATACTTATAAAACCAAACGGCTTTCAAGAGTGTTGTCATGGCAAGATAGACCTCAGGAAATGGTATATGGCAACAGTAAGAAAAAGTAAAAAATAAAAAGATTTTTGAAAAAACAGTAACTGACAAAATATATAAGAATAAACAAAATTTTGGAAGATGTTGAAGCAGACACTCAAAGAAGAGTAAGTGTCTATGATGGGGAAAAGAGTTCTGTGGATGTTTTATCTTTTGGCTTTAGGCTTTTACATGACTTGTAATTCTTTCTTTTTATGATGTGAACAATAAAATGTGAATGCATTTAGCTATAAAATTTTCTATTATAATACCAACATGCATACCTTCAATGTAATGTTAGTCTTAAAGGAGAAGAATAAAGTATTTATGAAGCTAAGAATGCTTAGATATATGGCACCCTGGTTATACTTACAATTTTGTGAAAAATTTCAGTCTGTGAATCCCATTTGAAGAGTATGTAAACCAGACATAAAGCAATAAGACAAATAATTAGTATGTTACTAAATAAACATTATAATACATTTTTAATTAAAAATTTACATTTATAAAGCCATCAAAGTTTGGAAGCATATTTCAACATCATTATGTTAGATCAAAACTACCATTTAATTAGAAGGTATTTTTATGCATAGTATTGTATATAAGAAAATTTTCTTTACTGGGTAGTGTGTTTTTAAAAAAGAATCTTTTGTTATTAAAATATTTATGTGAATCGACAGGCAAGTTTAAGAAACTCACCCCTTTCCCATATTACAGAAATCAAGCAAAACTTAGAGTAGTTCAAAACTCTAATTTAAATTATGGAAGATTTAGATCTTTAAGATTTGGATTTTGGAAGCTTTGGATTTTTAAGATTACTTTAGTGTGTTTTCAAACAAATAACAAGAGAAAGTTATATAAAAATGATTTAAATGTGAAAATAATCTAACCATTAAAACAGAAATTAAATATGAAAAATTTCAAAATTTATGAATTTATTTATTGTTTGTAGAAAATTTAATATATGTAAAATGCTTCAAACTCAATTATAATTCACAAAACTAATCATAAATTCACACTGTTATAAAATTATTGTTGTAATTATCATTAGTGATTAAATATAAATGCAGTAATTTATTAATTTATCAACTTTAATTTTTTTTCACTTTTAGCATAAAATCATTCATATTTTAAAGTGATAAGAATTCATATTTTTTGTTTGGTATTAAATTTTAATTGTATTAACTTTTTTTGTTTCAGAAGTTGATCTTTTGAAATCATTACCTTTTCATGTTCAGTGTCCAGATAGTGAACCAAATATTGTAAGCTTTTTATATGAAACACAGTTAAAAAAAGTAAGCAGCTAGATTTTTAGGAGTTTTTCTTGACTAATTTTACATATGTGTATATGTAAGTCAGATAAATAATATGTAAAATGAAATCCTAACTTTATTTGTTAACTACCCTCAGTTTTTTTTTTTTTTTTTAATATGATTAACTAACTATCCTTAGGTTTTGTTTTTAATTTGATTATTTTTTCTTTCTGTCCTAAAAATAGAAATGTGTGTATTATAAATATCTCTGAACTGCATCATTTCAAAATGGTTCCCTGTTTTGATTTTTGTATAATGCTCATGATGCATGTACTTGCATAATTGGAGGAATATTCTTCGGCCAGTAATAATATTGAAATCTGTAAACTGAATTAATCAAAAAGAATGAAGTAAAATCAAAATTGAATTGTTGTTAATCTAACTTCTGTAAGGAAATCTCCATATTTCTTAAAGAATAAAGGAAAGATTAACCTAGTTCTTTGATCTGTAAAATTTGTGAAAAATGGTGTAAGTTGCAAAATTTCATGTAATGATATTCCCTCCTTAAAGCAGTAAGAAGTTACAGCCAAGCATTTTCAGTGGCAATACCACGTTCCATGTTGCAAAAGCTGCAGCTTTGAAAAAAGAACTCATTACACCAGTGTGATAAATTAATTGCTTAACATGTTTGCAATGCAGAATGATTAAATCTTTCTAAAATGTGCAGTGTAAGAATTTCAAAACACAGAATTATTATTAATGTATATATAAATGAGATCGTATTATTTACTCAATGTATTAAAGTATTTTGAGATGGTATAAATTGCATAGGAAAAAGTTAAATTAGGAATTGATATTAATTTTATGAAAAGTAATAAAAAAATTATGTAACCTAATATCCACATTTCAATTAATAAAAGTTGCAATAGGTTGAGAAAGGTTTTTGTGATTATGATAATTTATGCTTAGCTGATACTGCTTTAGAATTTATGCTAGATCAGTTTTCATAAAGGAATTGTGCAGTAAACTAAATTAAACAGGGAATTAGTAAGATGAATAATTCAGGGATTTTACAGATTTTTCATAGGAAAAATTGGAGTTTATTGGGGAAAAAATTCATAAAAGTATTGATTATAGTTTATTTAATGCCAAAGACTATTATAATTTATTTAATAACAAAAGTAATGCATCAAAGCAATGAAAACATCAAAAATTTAAATATTCTTAGTGGTAGCAATGATGATGATAAGCACAGCAGTTATTATCATAAATGTAACAGAAATTTTGGTAAATCCAGCTTTGTTAAAAGAATATGTTTTAGCAGATAATTAAGAAATGAACCATCAGAATTGATGCTTAGATACAATAGGTGCAAAATGAAGTCAGAATAATTTATGATACCATAGGAGGTAGATATTAACTACCAATTTATAAATTTTAGCAATCAAAAGTTTTAAAAGCAATATTTTTTGCTGCAGATTTACTTTGCACCAAAATTTTATCATAACTAGACAAAGTAACACTATGCAATTTGTACATTTCTCAACCATACTTATGTAAAACATATTAAATAAAATATATTTTGTGTAGTTCTTAACTAATTTTGCATATTGCAATGTCATGAAAGGAAACCAATATTCTTATTGCCTTTATTAATTATTTTTAGTATGATAAGCCTAGTGAATTAATAATACCACCAGAATTATCTTCATTGTCTGGAAATCTAGACATTGGAACAGCTCTGGCTGAGAGGTGTTATTACAATTGTGATTATGAACAGTGTTTTAATCTTACAACTTCGTAAGTATTTGTCTGAAATTATATTAAATTTTTAAAAGTTAAAGAATGCTTTTGTTATTTCTATGTTTATTAGTATAGTTAATTTTTTTTTAAATTTTGCATTTTGATCTAAAATTCCTGCAATACTTGTGGCCATTTGTGTTTCTTTATAGACATCTATTATCTGCTTTTTAAAGTAATGTTGATGAAGATAAAATATTATTTTTTTTTTTTACAAAAATGTCTTCAGAATCATATATTATTCTTAAGTTATCAATGTTGCTTTTTAAAAATGGATTCAAATATTCAACATCCATGTTTATGCAGGATATTTGCACTAAACTTTCATGATGTACTTATGCTATTAATTGAAAACCAAGTATTGTTATGAATTTTAAAGTTAATTTTTAATAATTAGAAATGAATTAAATTTAGAATTTGGAAACAAACTTGAATGAAAGGATACAATGCTTTTATTTTACCAACTTTATGTGTGAAATAAAAATTCAGTTCATAAAGACAGTTCACTTGTATAACTGGTTGGTATTATCAAGTCTTCTCATTACTTGCAAAAAAAAAAAAAAAAAAAAAAAAAAAAAAAAAGCAGAAATATACAAGGTTTTTATATTTTATTAGATGGCAGATTTTTTAAAGATTGCATAGCTAAATGTCACAAGCCAACAGTTCTAGTCTAAGAAATTAATCAAATAAAATAGGTCTTCAAAGTATAACAGTTTTTTCATGTAGATGTTTCATGATACATGTGTGAAATAGTAGCTTTAAAAAAATGCAAAAATTAATATAAAAATTTTAAGAAGAAATGTCCAACTTCGTAAGTAAATTCAACTGTAAAATCAATAAATAAACTCATACAACAGTCAAAGCTATGTTCATTGGAACATTTCCCTATTATGCTATTATCCCTCTCATCAGCTCAGTTTTCAAAAGATGTGGATATAAATTTCCAATATTGCAGCCTCATCCATTTTAAAATTATTGAGAATGGATAAATCGGCCACCAGCGCAGCAGATGCATCAGGTATATATACCATTCCTGTCTATTGTGAAGAAACAAATACTCAGTATATTGGTTTAGCATCTGAAAATTATCAATAAGAATTGCCAAGCTTTAGAAAGGTATTTATAAAATCTCAACGAATCAACACAACAATGAAAATTATCTGTAGAACATCTGCAAGTGGTAACTGAATGGGACAAAGATAAAATCATCAATAAACTCCAGTACAAAAGTATCCTTAAATTTACAGAAATTATAGAAACCATTGTGAGATCATGTTACACAGAAACCCTTTTAATCTTCTGTGCAATTGAATATCAATTTTCAAAAATACAGCAATCCTTCTTGAAACAGCAATAAAAATATTTAAACTTTATTAACCCATTCATTCAATTCCAGTGAACGAAGCAGACATATGGTTTTGATATTAGCAATATTTTTAAATTAATAGTGTGTGTAACCAGGACTGTTTTATTTTTGTTTTAATTTAATTTTAACTGTGCCTTTTGATTTTTCAGCATGTTAAAATATGTATTATTCTGTCTACTGGAAAGGTAATTGACAGCTATCATTATGCTGTTTTCCTGAAATTGAAAAATAATTTCTTCTATGGCTTTGCTAAGTGCTTTTCAATAAAATGTATTGTTTCTGCTGGAAAACTCAAGAAGAAAAACTATATATGTAGTCTACTTTACTGACTACCTAAGTAGTTAGCAAAATTCCGCCACTATTATCGGGCACTCTTTAACATAGTCCTCCTGGTGTTGTTGCAAATGTTCAACTAGTACTATTCTCAACAGAGATGTTAAGTAGTATTTATGACGTCAACACAACTGATTGTAGCACAGGTTCTCTTACATAAGTCTTCCTAATTATGTAGTAGTTAATATACAATTGTTTTTTGATGAAATGTTACAGAAGAAAGTTAGAATTAAATATGATAGTAGGCTCATACAGTGAACACTAATTCTTTGTTGGTATATATTGCAGTGAATGGTTATTTCAAGAATGTGTAATCATCTCTCTCTGGCAAAGTGAGGAGCAGTACGAAAAATTATTGCTGTTAGGAAACTAAAGCACAGCTTATTTTTGAAATACGTCCATGCATATTAGCTTGCTTATGATAATCTGTATGAAAAGAACTATTTTTTTTTTACATTATGTAAATATAAATAATCAAGCATGATTTATTTTTCTAGACCCTTGTATTCTTCAATTCTTTTCTACAAAAACAATGTTAATTATCAAAGAAAGAAGAATTTAAATTATATCTCACTAAAAAAATTTTTTAAATATGTAGCTATAAATGTTATTACAAAACTAAACTTTATACTGTGACCAAACTAAAATTCTATATTATAGTAATTAATCGGTAAAATTATGCATCATGTAAATAATTACGTCATCACATATGATTAAGATTTTTTGCATATTATGCAATAGATTTTTTGGTATTTTCTGATTATTTCCATCATTTCTGCAATATATCATCAACCGTTGGTGAGTAATTTTTTGTCGAGCTAAAACATAAAAGATAGCCAATTTCAAAATTGATGGCATACTAAGAATCAGTTAGCAAAAATAAAATGCAAGAAATGACCATAATAAGCCATTTTACTTTTGCATTCTTCTTTCCATGTATACAGCGATTGGTTTTCCTTAAAAAAAAAATCAAAGAAATGCACAAATTTGATATTGCATATGCTGTTGTTTTCCCATATACATAGTTAACTGTTTTTGCTTTTTAAAAAAATCAAACAATTGCATAAATTTGATATCAGCACACAAGTTTTGATCCATAAAATGCGAGCATTTATGTATTACAACTTCATGGAATGTGAGTTTTTTTTATTCTCTCTTGTTAGACAAAATGCCATGTTTCTGAAGAAATGCTATCCTTTTTCATGAGCCAGTAGACTCGATAGTCCCATTACAATTACTTACAAGAAAAAAAAAAGAATGTACACTAAAACAAACACCAATATTAGTCAAATTTGAAAGATAGAAATCGGCACTGCCTGCTGCGAGATCCCTCATAAATATTTTGCCAGTATCATAGGTTGCCTACCTTAGCAAGAGAGTGCACTGCCTTTTCAGTGAGGTGCAGATAATCAGAAATTGGCTATTTTTCCATTTAAAAAACTGTCATCTATAAACATTTTATATATGTATCTAGCATTCGTAGATGCTTTTAAAGATGAAATCTTTATTTTCAGCATTCTCAATAAAGATCCATTTCATCTAAATTGTTTGCCTATACATATATCGTGTTTAATGGAACTTGACAAAACAAATGGTAAGAATAAACTATTATAATGTCAGCTTTAGAGAATGTATTAAATGAATTACAATTTATGTATATGATTTCATTTAATAAATTTTATTTGACCTCGTCTTTGAAATTTTTACACTTAAATGATTTTATATATTATACTTTAGTCTTTTCTTCTTAGGTTTATCTATGTTTGCCTGTCTCCATACATAGTAGAATTTATTAAAATCACAAATTTAATATTTGTCTTGCATATTTGACATTGAATGATAAAATAACTATATGATAAATATGTGTAATGGAAAAAATAACAAACATTCAAGTCTGAGTATACAATTCATTTTGACTTCTTTTTTGTTTTCCCCCCGTATAGTTTTATTTCCTGGAATTTGTATTTTTTTTATAAATAATGTGTTTCTTTATGTGAGTGTGATGTTTATGTGTTCAATACATAAATTAGCTTAAATTTTAACTGTAATTAAAATGCTATGCTTGATTTTAGTATACTTACCTTTCATCTGTGCAAACTTACAATAAAATTGTATAACCAAGGTGCCATAAGTCTAAGTCTTGTTAGCTTCTTAAATATTTTATTCTTCTTAAAACTAGCATTAAGCTAAAGCTATGCTTATTAGTATAATAACAGAAAATTTCATTGCATTCACATCATAAAAGAAAATTACCAGTCATGTAAAAGCTTAAAGCTGGAGATGAAACTTCCACAGAACACCTATCTCATCCTTGACACTTTTCCTTCACTGTCTGTCTTCTTAAACATTTTTTTAAAGGTTGTTTATCCTTATGTGTTTTGTTGCTTACTGTTTTTCTAAAGATCATTTTCTTTTCAATCTTTTTCATACTGTTGAACATTTACCATTTTCTGAGCTCTGGCTTGCCGTGACCACATGCTTGAAAGCCACTGGGTTACCGACTCCTTTTGTGGCTCATACAATGTTTCGGTGAAGAGCCAGCAATATATTTTGTTGGTCTACCTTGTCTTTGGAGAGTGTTAAATTCCCACTGTCTCTCGAAATGGGCAGTTTATAAGTATCTAAGGCTGAGCTGTGGTAAATCTCAAGGACTTCATCTGGCTTATATGGGTCAGCAATGTCATACGTAGTGATGATCATTAAATTAATGATGATTAATGATCATTAAATAATTTCCTTCACATTTGGGCATGAATTTTCGGCTTTTTTTTTATATTTTGATCTCTAGTAGGATGTAGCATTAGCTATACTTTATCACATGGTTTGAAGGAATCTTTATTGATTTTTGATGGTCATAATATGTTTTTTGCTTGTCTTGCTTCTGTTCAACATGGTCTTTAAGCTCTGTGATTAAACAGGCAAAATCTCAACCATGAAGTTATTGCTGTCGGTTAGTACTTTTAAGTGCGAGTAACATCATTTGTTCTTAATTATCTTCCAAACTGCAAAAATGCTGCTGCATGACTAGTGGTTTCACACTTGGCAGTGCTCATGAAAAATGTATCAATGCCAGTTTTTTTCATCAGGAGTCGTGTTCACCTCTGACCAGTATAGCAAGTCAGGGTTTTAGATTCCAATTTTTATGTTCAGATGGGTTTGCTTGGGGATGATACACAGGGATAAGGTCTTGCTTAATTTTAAAAAAATAGCAAGTTTGTCACATAACAGCATTGGTGAATTGTAACTCGTTATCACTGATCAATCTAAGTGGAAATTCATATTGTCGAAAGACATCTTCAGCTAACATTTTGGTGCAGTTTACAGCTGTTGCTTCTATAAGAGCAAAAAGTTCTAGCCATTTTATATTGGTATCTTCTACAATCAAAATCCATTTCTTACCAGATGAAATCCCTGGAAGAGTATGAACGAATGGATTCATTTGTGTTTTGCAGCTGAGGATGATGGCTGAGCTTTGGCAGCTGAGGATGAAAACAATCAAAACTAATCCTGTGAAAATTTGAAAATATAATGCTGATTTTTGTTGTTTGACTTTAATTAGACTTAATAAATTAATACTTGTTCGGTATGTTGCTGTATCATAATTAATGTGCTGATTTGCATATGAATAGTTTTGTTTGATTTATTGAAATGTTGCAAAAATATGAACTTAACATAAACCCTTAGCATATTGTAAAACAATAATTGAATGTGTTATTTCTATAATCCATAGTTCTATTTGGGAGACCTTTCGATTTGTATATTCAATTCAAATCACTACTTTAATTAAGTCTTAATGACTTTTATTTACACACATCTTTTATATTACAATATATACATAATTCGAGATTAATTTCAAATCAAAAGTTGGCGATTATCCCCCCTTCGTATCAAATTCTATCAAGAGAAACCGAGTGAGCGACCGCTCTCTTCCAAGTTTGTTTTCCAACTCCTCGTTACCACTGGCAGAAGAGAAACTTTCGCTCATTTCGCGTTCGAGTTGTAACATTTCTCCCACCTTTTGATTTTTGACAAAGTATGAAAAAATCAAAACAATTGTGAATGAAAATTGAAATACAAATATAAGATGAGTAATTTAAATCTTACCAAATCAACAATTTTATCTAGGCGTAACAAATATCTTGAATATATTAAACTTACGTATTATTCTGCAAACTTACATTCTTTAAACAACAGGCAAAAAATTCTTTTCTGAAAAATACTAGTAAAGAGATTAGTTCACTAAACTGGAAAATCAAATTGTATACAAAATTTAAATTGAAAGAAAGGAATAAAGAAACAAATAATAGTGGTACTGAAAACAAATTAAACTAATTAAAGTTCTTTGGTTTCACAATTTTTCTGCCATATCTACTAAACTGAATGTTTTTATCAGAATTTTCAAGTTCACGGTCTTTAGTATCAATTACTAAATCATTCCTTTTACCAATATTTCTCGGAGATGTGGATGTTCTCCAAGATAGATTCTTTATTGTCTATCTCCATTTTAAATACTCTTTGAACTGGTCTTAACAGTTCACCACTAGATGGTTTTACTTTCACCACTCTGACGTTGTTTTCTTTTCCTGGATATGTTTCGATCACACAACCCATAGGCCAGTCTGTTCTTTTCCTTTTATCATCCTCTACAAACTCTAAATCACCTTTCTTGATGGTTCGCGAAGGTACAGTCTTTGGTCGATGTACTAACATACCAAGATATTCATCTCTAAATCTTTTACGAAATTCCACACGTAACTTTTGGTGGTATCGCCATCTTTTCGATAAGTTGATTTTATCCAAACTCTCCAGATCCGGAACATCTTCAGTTCGCACATCCTGAATAAACATAGATGGAGTGAGTGCACATAAATCGGTGGAATCTTCTGACTCGTAATGTTAATGGTCTGGAGTTTATATTTGCTTCTGCATCACATAGAATAGTTAACATTTCTTCGTATGAAAGTAATGCTTTTGCCAGGACTCTTCTCAATAATTTCTTGATCATCTGAACCAGTCTTTCCCACCATGCTGCGGTTGGTGGATTTAACTTCCAGTGAATTTTCATTATCAAAGAACTTCTGATAATTTGGTTCCAGTCAACAGATCGGAGCAAATTCCTTGCCCCTACAAAATTTGTGCCATTATCGCTGTATACTACTCAAGGCCATCCTCTTCATGCCTATGAATCTTCTAAATCCGAGAAAAAATCCATTAGTCGATAAGCTTTCAATTAATTCTAAATGAACCGCACAATAAACTCCACAAGTAAAAAGCAAGATCCAAGCTTTTCTATTTTCTTTTAAATAAAGTGGTCTTACTACATCAACTACTACTAACCTCAAATGCATAAGCATCTCTGACTCGATCTTCTGGGAGAGGACAAGGCACTGTATCAAGAGCTTTCGCCAAGTGTCTCTTGCACCGAACGCACTTCGATATGACTCCTTGTACTGTTTTTCTTCCTTTTATTATCCAAAATGTTTGACGAATATTGGTTCAAAAGAACTTGAGTACCAGCATGTAAAAGTTGTAAATGGTAGTCTTCTATCATTATTTCTACTAATTCATGTTTGGATGGAAGTACAATGGGGCACCGGAAGTTTTCATCATCATGTCTTTCTCAAAATCTTCGTTTTCAATCTTATAATCCCTTCTTCATCTGTGAAAGTAAAATGTCCCTTCAACTTGTTCTTGACCCTATAGAATGCTTCTTGTTGAACGATCTTCTCTAATTTCTTCTCAGCAATGTCCAATTCTTCAACACTCAGGGTTTTGCCATAATTTCTTGCCTCCATGTCTACAATTATTTATGAATCTTAGAATCCAAGAAATCATTCTCACAATTTTAAAGTAACTTGAAAAGTAAATCAGATATACCATTTTTCAGCGGTGATATTAGCCAAAGTCGAAATAAATGTTCTTTCGCTTTTCTTTCATGATTTCTTCTTCATTAGTAATCACTTCACTTCGCAAGTTGGCCACTCTTCATTGTTCTTCATAAGCCATTCTGGCCCTTGCCACCAGCGAGATTTCATAAAACTCTTAATCGAATGCCCTTGTGATGGTATATCTGCTGGATTCGAATTTCCCGGAATGTGACGCCATTCAGATTCCGATGAAAATTTTCGTATCTCTTTTATTCTATTTGCGACAATTGGCGCCCAATGGTCATCTCTTTGGATCCAAGAAAGAGCAGTACTCGAATCTGTCCAATGGTTCCTTGGAACGTTGTCTAATTTGAGTGTTTGTAAAGCAAGAGCTCCGAGTCTGACTCCTATACAGCAGGACAATAATTCTAGACGATTTATTGTCATTTTTTTTAATGGACTAACTCTACTTTTATCTAGAAGAAAATACACCGATACATTTTCACTTGTTTCTTTTCTTAAATAAATCACACATCCATAGGCTTGTTTACTTGTGTCATAGAACGTATGAAGACTAAGACTTTCATTTCCATTTATATCTAAAGCCCTTGGAATTCTAATACTGGATAAAAGCGACAAATCATCAATCCATGAATAGAACTCTTTTCCTAAGTCTTCGGGTATATTTGTATCCCAACCAATTTTTAGCAACCATGTCTTTTGTATG